TGGGACGGACGCGAAAGCGTCAAAGATGATCCACACACAGGTCGGCCGAAGTCCGTACGCACACCGAAAGCAATAAAAAAAGTTTGTGATATGGTGAATGTGATCGTCGATTGACTATTCGAGTACTCGCCAATGAATTCAGCATGGATAAAGAGACGGTTCGACGAATTTTGACGCAAGACCTAGGCAAACGCAAGATTTGTTCCAGATTCGTTCCTCACCATTTAAGGGACGAATAAAAGCAACTGAGACTGGAAGCATGTGGCGAACTTATCGACAACGCTGATGCTGACCCTGCATTCCTGGATAGCATAGTCAAGGGCGGAGAGTCTTGCTGTTATCAATATGACCCTGAAACCAAGCGTCAAAGCTTCGAATGGCGGGCTCCAAGTTCACCAAGGCAGAAAAAATTTCGATTTGAAAAATCCAAAATCAAGGTCATGTTAATCACTTTCTCCGATTGCAATGGACTCATTCGTCATGAATTTCTTCCTCCTAACATGACTATCAATAGACAGTTCACCTCAGAAGTTCTTGACCGACTTCAAAAACAAATTCATAGAGTGAGGCCACATTTTCAACAAAATAGGAGTTGGATGCTGCTACGTGACAATGCCGCCCACACATTGCGTTGCCTGTGAGGCGATTCTTAGATCAGCATGGTGTCGTTGAAATGCAGCATCCACCGTACTCTCCACACCTAGCACCCGCAGACTTTTTCCTGTTTCCTAAGCTGAAAATTCGCTGAAGGGAACAAGATTTCAGGATGTCGAAGCCATCAAGAAAACTCTAACATCACTATTAAAGAGCATTCCAAAAGAGGACTTTAAAACATCCTTCCGAAATTGGTACAGCCAAGCACAGATGTGCATTATGGCTGATAGGGATTACTTTGAATCATATTAAATAGCTATGTGTTTAACTTTTTTTTCTTCCAAGTTATTCCACGAGTTCTGGAAATTAATAGCCGGACCTTATATTATTACCATTTAAAGTACTTTTTCAAATTTGTTTTTGTCTACAATTAAACATAAAATCATAACCTGCATTTAAACATTCTGATAATCCTGGTTAAGAACATGGTTCCGAGAATGATTTTCTTATGCACGATCCCTAAAATTCAGATTTTCACTAGATTTGTTGGTAGAAGAAAAATAGATCTGGCATTCTAGTATTTTTACTTCCTTGTACGAAGTAAAAAGGAAGTATTGTAATCACGAAAAGTTTCAGGCAGCATATTTCAATGAAAATATCCATTTTGACCATTATCGAATGAAATTTAACGTTTTTTTACGTGATATCTGTACGTAAGGACAGAATAAAAGACACTTTTCCTCCAAAAAATTAAAAACTGCTTTAAAATGAATTCTTAAGAAAATTTCTCGTGGCGTCTGTACATACGTACGTTATCTCGCATAACTCGAAAACGAGTAGCCTTAGCAAGTTCAAATTTTGTATATAGGATTGCTATAACATGTAGTGCACCTCGTATTTTGGATGCAAATGGCTGCACCAAACGTACTTGGCTCAGTGATCTCAGTTTCTTTACTCCTATATGTTTGTAAATTGTACATTTTTTGCTTTAAAAATGGTTGAATTATGTTGTTCTTATCTTCCGGTTACAGTTTTTATGCCTTTCGTAAATCTGGAAGCAATCTGGAAGCTTTCGTAAATCTTTCGTAAAAGCTGTTTAAGTGTGGTTAAGTTTTGAATAACATGGCGGACATATTTGTTTACATTTGAAACAGCACAATAGTAGATTTGTTGCCAATCTAGAGAGACTAAGCTTCGTAACAACAAAGATAAACGCATTCATTTATTATAGCAAATTAAATCATGTTTAATCCTTTGTGGAATTTTTTCAAGAAAATAAGTGTTTAAAATTTACTTTGTAATTTTTAATACAGATATTTTGAGTTTTTATGTATTTTTGCCTTGTCGCGAAGTGAGAACTGAATTAATTGAATGAGAAATACTAAATCATCTGTGAAAAACTGTTTCTGTTTTGTTTTGTTTGCTTAATTTCTTTTATACATCATTCTAGCTTTATTATAGTATTTGAATAGAACATGTGGCAACGATAAGATAATTCTTTAAATGATATAAATTTTGTGCATTCTGTGTTATCATATGAACAAAATATAAATAATGTTAAGTGAACCTAGCGCCAGAGTGTCGCTATGGTAAACAAATAGAGTGAATTTTAAAGAATGCATGTATTCTATTGTGGTTTATGTGCTGTCTGCGAAGTAGATTTAATTCAATCCAATAAGTTTAAATGAAATGAGAGAAAATATGCCTATAATTTAATATTCCATACAAGGAAGTCATGTGGTGTACACATCAGATTTTTTTCTTTGTATTACTTACATGAAAACTACATTTAATTTTTCAAAATCTTTATTCAAAAAGAATTTTTATTCAGTCATAAGTAAAAATACTTCTAAAGCTACTTATACCTTCATAACTCTTCAGTTACTAATATTTTTTCTCTTTGCATATATTCTCTTTGCAAGAAAAAATAAATGCAAAATTTAAATTCAGTTGCTGCCAGTCTCTAAAGAGCCATTCACACTGAGGTTTTTGTGAACTAATGGAGTCAGTTCCATGTGTTGACTAGCTCCATGATACGTGCAGTTAAGATTTTTCAACTCATTTCACATGAGGAAAAACTCATTTGAGAAATTGGTCAGTTATGTAAGATGTCTCTGTTAGCTCAGATTAAACAACAGTGTGAACAGCCCTTAACTTGCAAAGCATCAAGATGTGATTTATAGTCATACAAACAGATCAGTTTTACCTTTGTTTGAATATATTTACAAAAGTACACTATATAAACGAAAAGATTATGTCTTGTAGCTTGAAAGCAAAAGCAGCAAAAAATCTGAAGCAGGCTCCATGTGACTTCCTAATATGGCCTATTAAATTACATATATTTTTACTGGACTTCACTCAAAACTGCAAATAATGTATCTGGAGTTTCTCTGAAAGCCAAATTACATTCAGGGTAATACTCAGTAATATTCATTACATGTTCTAAAACCTTACACCAATACTCTTGTTCCTTACATAAGCATGCTTCCAGGTATTAATTCCAAATTTTCCTAACACTGACTTAATGTGGAAATAAAAAATTCTCCTACAAAAGGAATAAATTTTATTGCTGCTCTCTGATTGAATAAGACCACCTTCTAAAAAGTTGTTTGACCACTACTGTTTATTTTCTTATCACTGTCACAAAGCAACTACATTTAAGTGCCTTTTTTGGAAAACTGTACTGTTTATTAATAAGATGAGGCTCATTCATAATGATATGATCATTTTCATGCATTGATAATTCACCCGAATCATTATAATCGACATCTATTTTGGTTGACTTTTCCAAGTTTTTTTCAACATTCTCAGTACTCTTGGCTATGACTGTGACATTATTACCAAACCCAGAGCTGACAAAGCTGGTATGCAGGTTAAATGTGATCTTTTTAATTGCTTTACTTCACAATCATTAGATAATACTCTGAGTATATGTAGCTGAAGAAGTTAAGCTTCCATTATTCCTACTGTCTGACTTCAGACTTAAAAAATTTGACAACTTTGGGAGTTTCTTGAGTGCTGCTTCTTATTTAAGATCCCCCCTCCCCATTTTTATAGCTGGATAACTATTTGGAATACTTTTCTCAATATTATGAATAGGAAAAATGAAAATTTGAACCATAAATAGAAAACAAATAAAAAAACACTACGATACATCATCATAAATGGCAAAAAAACAAAACAGAAGAACAATCTCACAAACAAACAACAAAATACTGATTCTAGCTCAATATCAGTTTGGTGCTGCCATCAAAAAGTATTTTTTTAAGTAAGGTCAGTATCTGAAAAACAGCTATAAGAAATACCACAGTTTAGGCTAGGGTGTCAGAAGCTGAATCCAAATGACTCTTAAAACAGAAAAGTGTTAAAAACATTAGATTGCGAAAAAATTTTAATTATTAATTTTACCATTTAGGGAGAGGTAAACTTGATGGCACCCCAGGCCAGCAAGTTTTCCTCTTCCTAAATAGTAAAATAACTGTCATTGCTGCTGGCACTTTGCATTGGCACTGTCTGTCAACACAGCACTGATCTATTTCATTAACTTCATAAACTCTGAAACATAGCTTACTGGCATTACAAAAATATAAACTTTTCATAAAACCTACTATAAGTCTGGTATAAAGAGAAGAAATTACATTAGTTTACATAAAAAGTTTTAAACTTCCTTACATATCTAGAAAACTTACATGCGTAAAGTGAAGTTTCATCTTTCAAAATCAAAAAGATGGCATGCATATTATAAAAATGAAAGACAGCTACAATACCAGAGGTGTAATAAGATGAGTCATCAGAAATTCAGTAGCAGCAGATAGAGGAGGCTGAAGTGTAAGACAGAAAATATAAATCCTACTTAGCACTTCATCATTCTGCAACCATCAGTTCACTATACCAACATTTTCTATGTCTACCTATATACCAGCATTAACAGTCAAGATCTGACATTTGCTTAGCTGGTGCAAAAGGTTTGAACTTTAATAGTGCAACATGCTTAACTGCTTAAACTGATGCATTCTTTCATTATATAATTCTTTACAAATATTCAAAATTTCACTAAATGTACTTGTACTTTCAAGAATATACGTTAAATCTCTAAATTCCTTTCAGTAACTAAAACTACAATAATTTAAGTCTTTTGTAAAGTTAAGTGATGTAAAACCTTTCATAAAGCTACTCATAAAATTAGCATCATTTCTACAGTCAGGACGTTATAAAGTAAAGCTTAATTTGTACAAATAAAAAATTAAATCACTAGGTTTGTTCTGATATCCATTAAGCAAATTAAAAGTATTTCGATCAGAATGTTTTCATCTTTGAAACATATGAAACTTGAGTGATAATCTTTGACATGTGAAATGTTTGCCACTTGAAAAATTTCATATAATCTGAATTTAAGAAGTACTCACAAGGATCAACATCCATCCTCTCTTCAGGTGGATTCACAGAACCTGGCATTGCTTTCTCATCAGCAAAAACAGGTCTAAAAAGGAAAGAGGGAGCAATGAATAAATAAGAACTATGTAATAATAACATTTGCAAAAATATTTTTTTCCCTTCAGTTATAACTTTATCCCCACGTATAATTTCAAGCTAGATTAGAACAACTTCCGAGATTAAGAAAGAATATACGGTTGTTAACAAGGACTTCAAAAGCAACCGCATTTTCCTGCAAAATATTATCGTTATTCTCAGCAACCAAGGATGGAAGAATAAAGATTGCTGGTCATCTGTCAGAAGCCATGGATACCTATGCTGGCTCGATCAAATTATTTTTACTTTTAGAGGTACCCACGGGAATGTTTGCTAATGCTTACATAAACTTATTCCTTTAACATCATCTTTTAACAGGCCATTCAGATTTACAAATTTTGCCTTCAGTATGCATATACATAAGAAGAATGAGTCTGCTTTGCCCAGTATTCAAACCTAAGCCCATAGACATGGGACTGCCTCTGTTAACTGACATAACATTTAAGAAACTGTCAATTTCTAATACTGTATGTACAAAGAAAAAAAAATCAATTGCACAGGATTGAAAACACACCACAAATGCTGAAATAATAATAAAAAAAAAAAAACTATTGGTCACACTTCTACTATACATACAAGATTCGATATATAAAACATATTCTGCTTTATGGTAAGTAAACAATGCATGTTACACTACATGAAATTTAATACATAAGAAACATATCTTGCACAATAAAAAAAAATTGCAATTTTAGTTTAAAAAAATTAAATGCTAGCTACAAAACACAAATAATGAGTCTGCTTTAAAAAAAAATTTGAAGGTTTGTTCAAATTATTTCTGCCATATAAAAATTTATTGTATTCTTGTGTGCGTACGGGTTCATAATAAATTGAATGCACAAGTCCGATAAAAAGTCAATAAAATTTATTCTTCTCACAAGAAATAAAACAAAATGCTGAAATTTTTTTCTTAATGAGAGGTTATTAAGGATGGTTCGATTAAACCTCTCTAACATGCCATCCGACTGGCGATGTAAATGTGTCATTTGGGTTTTGTCAACGACGAGTACCTTGCAGAGTTCTTTGATTACAGCCGAGGTGAAATTTCTTCCCTGATCAGAATGTAACTAAACAGGCACTCTGAACCTGGAAATCCAGTGCTGTATCCTTACCTCTGCTACTGTGACAGCCTCTTGATCATGAATAGAATATGCTTCAGGCCACTTAGTGAAGTAATCAATGACAATGAGGATATATTTGTTGCCATCAACAGTTCATGGCAGAGGTCCCAAGATGTCAAAGGTGATATGCTCAAAAGGTGCTCTTACATTGTAATGTTGCAACTTGCCTCGGCTGCGTTTCTTTGGTCCTTTCTTATAGGCGACAGCATCGCAAGGTCGACAAAACTTTTGCACGTCACCGTTTACATTACTCCAGTAGAAGCGCTCACGAATCTGCAAGGTCTTCATGATTCCGAAGTGACCTTGTGTAAGGCTGTTATGTATTTCTTTAAGGACATTTGGGATTAAGGATCTTGGAAGTATCAGCTGCCATCGGAACGCCCTTCCATCGTCTGATTCACATTTCCGGTATAAGACACCATTTCAAATGTGGAGCGAGTCACAGAGAACCTAATAAATATTGTTTTGTCATAGGACTATAGATTGAAATGTCCCACTAGATAGCTTTTCTGTTTGAAGACTCCATCAATTCAATTATGGGTTTAATGTCGCCGTCTTCCAGCTGGTCTTTCCTGACTTCTTTTTCACTCCATGGGTCTCGATCAGCTGTTCTTGATGTTGCAATTTGTTGTGCGACCAGACTCAGCAACTCATATTTCGCTTCCACCCTGGAACAACAACGGCAGCTTTCTGGTCAAGGTCTTCTAGACAAAGCATTCCCTTGTGATGATCCCTTCCAATGACGGATAGTGATGTCATATTCCTAGAGTCACTGTATCCATCTAGCTATTTGACTCTCAAGATTCTTGAAATTTAAAAGCTAGGCCAATGAGGCATGATCCGTGTGGAGCAGGAATTTTCTGCCGTAGTGATAGAAAGGTTCTATGGCTTTGACTATGGTGAACAACTCTTTCCTGCTGACACAGTAATTATCCTCCGGTTTGGATGGGCACTTGCTCCAGCAAGCCACTACACGGTCTTGGTCGTTTATTTCTTGGGACAAAACAGCACTGACATTGCTCATGTCCGTGTCGAAAATAAATGGTCTGTCAAGCTAAGGATACGTCAGGATTGGAGCAAATGTTAAAGCTTCCTTCAGATTCTTAAATGCACCCTCACACACTTTTGTCCACAAGAACTTTTGCTTGCTTTCTGTCAGTTTGTGAAGGGGGTCTTGCGATGCAAGAAAAGTCCTTCACGAATCTCCTATAGTAGGTGCAAAGCTCTAGAAAGCTTCTCAGCTGATGGACATTTTTAGGGCCTTTCCAGTCTTTGACAGCCGATTCATGCACACACCTTCAGCAGATACGACGTGTCCTCTGTAAGTCACTTCCTGTCTCAATAACTTGCATTTAGCGGGACTCAACTTTAGATTGGCTTGCTTTAGTTTCTCAAGTAGAGTTAGTTGGTTATTATTACAAGGAACTCGTTCGAATGTTGCCGGCGCATTACATAGTCCAAGCAACATCACCTTGAAATGCCAAAGTCCTTGCCTGGTAGTAAATGCTGTCTTTTCTCTGTCATCAAGATGAATCTCCACTTCCAATACTCACTCCTTAAATCAGGCATTGAAAGCCACTTGCTTTGAGAAATAGTGTCCAGAATGTTGACAATTCTAGGAAGAGGGTAGCTATCTTTCTTCGTAACTTCATTCAATTGGCAATAGTCGACGCAAAATCTTGTTGAGTTGTCTTTCTTTCTTACAAGGACTGGGAAATGTCCATGGACTTGCTGAAGGCTCGATGACATCTCCCCTTCCTGTGTAGCTATCAGTAGATGTCTTGGATGTTGCTTGATTGGTGGATGATCACCGGAATCTATTCTGTGTCGCATTAAACTGATTCAACTCACGTCAGAAGACGAGCAGGAGAAAAAATCTTGAAGATCTTGAAAGACACGTTCGGTAGCATTCCTCTCTTCATCGTTTAATTGTGCATTCTGCAATAACTCCCATGTATTGCTTTCTGAAGACATGGACTCTGAAGTGTCAATGTTTATTTAACGCTGGTCACTGTACTACATGCTGCAACCACTTCACCTTTCTTAATGAATCTCGCTTTTTCAGTTATGCTGGCAACCCTCACCAGGATAACAATTCGCAATATGTCGACGACTGCTGAGGCTACTAGCACTCCTTTTGGGCTGCTACAGTTCTTGGGATATTCTATGATGCCGTAGTGGAAATTTCTATTTTCGACCTATAGGTGCAGGAAGTAAAAACTCTTCATGTGGGTATTGTGATATCATCTTGAGCTATAATTTTCTGGATAGATGAGCTGCTTTTCTATTGTTGAGCCACATCATTTTGATTGATGGTAGCATTAGCCCCTGTATCATTAGTTATTATTACAAGGAATTCCATTGATATGTCCCATGATGAAAAGCCCATTACAGCCGCCACTCACTGCAGAAATCTGAAACGCTTTAAACTGGGATCTTTCACTATCACTCAAACTCTGCTCCGCGGTATGATCATTAATTTGTTTCCTGCGCTGTTGCTGGGAAGCGGTCTTATTTTTCATACTCTGGGGTGTTCTGTAGTTCCTCCGTACATGTCCTTTGGCTCCGCAGTTCCAGCACTTCGGATTCTTGTCACTCCTTTTTCGCCTCATGGCATTTACACTCATGTCCATAAATTAAGGATAATTCAGAGTCATGCAGAAATCAAACTCTAAAATAAATATATCACCTGTAAAATCACTACACACATCTTCAAGAATCATATGCAAATTTCAGAAAGTAACCAGATGACACCGATGGTACGTCACAATGACGAGGGTGTAAGAGAGTGATATATAAGGAATACAAGCAAAGAAGTAAAATTGTTCGCAGGGGCTTTGGCTTTATAACCATTTCAGTGCAATAACCGAATAGTTATGACACAAAGGACGCATTTGGATGATTTTATACATGGCAGAATTATCGGCCGTCTGGAATGTGGGCGTACCCAACTGGAAGTATCAGACAAACTTGAAACTGCCCAGATTGTCATCTCCAGGCTTTGGCAACGATTCCAAGATGATGGTAATGTGAGTAGACGTTGTAGCACAGGTCGCCCCAGAGCTACAACGCCAAATGAGGACCGGTATTTGGCAGTTACTGCCAAAAGAAACAGGCGGAGCACAGCCTCAGACTTGTCTCGTCAGCTCTCTGCAGCCACTGGTATGACAATTTCAAGGCAGACCATGTACAGACGCTTAGGGCAGATTGGTTTATATGCTCGTAGACCTGTCAGATGCGTTCCACTTACTGCAACTTGACTGTCGCCTGCGGTTAGCCTGGAGTAGAGAGCATGCATTGTGGACACCGCAACAGTGGGCTTGTGTGATGTTTTCCGACGAGTCCAGGTTTAGCTTGCAGTCTGATTCTCGCCGGACTTTCATATGGAGAGCTCCAGGTACCCGTTACCACAAGAAAACATCATTGAACGACACCGTTACGGTGGTGCAGGAGTGCTCGTTTGGGGTGGAATTATTCTGGGTTCCAGAACTGACCTGCATGTTTAAATGCAGCCAAATCTATTGGGACGTCATTCTGGAACAACGTGTACATTTGTTTCGGGGCGCCATGGGCGCACAATTGGGGTTATGGATGACAATGCCCAATCCTCACCGTGCAAACATCGTAAGCGAATGCCTTCAATCGGAGGATATCACCCGTATGGACTGGCCAGCATTCTCACAGGACTTGAATCCAGTAGAGCACGTGTGGGACATGCTTGGCCAACAAGTTGCAGCCCGTCAACCTCTTCCTACATGTCTACTGGAACTTCGGAGAGCATTGCTTTTTTTGAGTGGTGTAATATCCTCCCAGATCAGATCGATAATTT